CACATGATGTGCCCGGGGGCTGCTGACCTACATTGTCAGCAACTACATCCTACAGAGGGACTCGGGCCAGCTGCTCTCCTTCCCGTGCACAGATGAGGTAGGCTTTCCCGGACAGCTTATGGATCCCTCCTGCTGAGCAGGGCTGGACCAGGAGCCAACATGTCTGCCCTCCGGCCATGCCAAGCAGGTGTCCACAGAGCCCTGCCACGCAGGCAAGCATATCCTTAGCTTGAGTTCAGCCTTCTCAGAGTACCAGGGCTTCTAAAATCTACCGAATGCTCAACAGTGAAGTCGTTCCCCACTGAAGCACAAAACAGGTTCATACCTACGGTCTCCTTAGAGTTTAGAGGGATGCTTAGGAGAAGCAGGGCAGTGTGGGTTAGGTTAGAAGGGAAAGTGGTGAGGTTGGGAGAAATACCAGAAATCTCCGTGACTTAGCAGCTGAAGGGCCTGGGCTGGTTACTCAGTTTTCTGTGCCTCTGCGTCCTGTAGAGTGAGCATAAGATCTTGCTGCATTCTGAGAGTGGCGTTCTTACTCTAGCAACCAGCAGGAGGTGAGTCGTAGCCTTACCATTGCTTACTCATTGTTTATCCATTTTCATTGCATGGGAAGAGGTCTCACAGCCCTGGACCACCTCTCATGGAAGCCACCCAGTCCTAAATGGGAGATCCGTGAGAGCAGGACACTCTTCTATCCTGCTGGCAGTGATATGCCCACAGCAGTACCCGGAAAATATCCTATGCCCACAGCAGTACCAGGAAAATATCCTATGCCCACAGCAGTACCTGGAAAATAAGGTTGCGTTAGTAGTTATGGAATGGATGGTTGGATGGATGGATAAGTACCTGACTAATTGCCAGGTGAGAAAAATGGAAGGAAGGAAGGAAGGAAGGAAGGAAGGAAGGAAGGAAGGAAGGAAGGAAGGAAGGAAGGAAGGAAGGAAGAAATCGAGAGAGAATGGAGCAGATGGCAAATCTTCACAGGCAGTCATCCCAAGCAAGAGCAGCACTGTTAAGCCAGAGGAGATGCAGTCCTTGGAAGAGAGGCAGACCCGAGGACCAGGCATACAGGCCCTGGACTGCGTGGACAGCCCACAGTGAGATGAGCCCAGGGCAGTGTCGCATCCCCCAGCAGCCCCTCTCATAGCTGCCCTGGAAGCTGAGTGGCTCTACCACAGTGCTTGGACATCTGGCCTCAGTGGCCTCTGTTAGGCCAATCGATACTTCCCTGTGTCTCAGGGAATGCCTCTGACAGCTTCCCCATTTTCAGCCTCGCTGAACTCCTGATTCTGTGTACCCAGAAGCAGGTAGATTAATCCACAGCACACCACACAATTCTCTGGTGACCTCTAGTGGCAGTTTGGTGCGTGACAATGATACCTCAAAAACTCTAAGGCGGCAACTCTTCCTCCCCAGGGGTATGACTCCACAAGTCTACCTGAGGACCCAAGTCCCACGTAGGATCTGGATAACCCAACAATGGCTTGCTTAGTTTGCCTTGAGATTCGGTACCAGGGTCCCTCGACTGTGTTCAAAGACTCCCATCATCGCCTAACCTCCCAAGGACAGGAACCTCGCTCCTGATGGAGAGAGGGCAGCAAGAGGACGATGTGAAAAGCCTCTGCTCCTGCATCCTGATGTCTTCATGGTTGTCACTGCTGGCCTTGGGAACAAGTTCATTCTGTCCCCTTAATTAAACCAGGAAACTTATCTGGAAACCATAGCTCATGATGGATGCATCCCAGTCCCTGAGGTACTGTGAAGGGGACGTCTCCAGCCCAGGCCACCTCAGGAACCTCCTGTCCCTTCTAGCACTCCTGCTCACATGTGGACTCCAACCCCATGGACTTGAAGAAACGAAGCTAATGTCTTTCGTGGCTTGGCACAGCTAAGGAAGGGGACATAGAGCCCAAAAGAGCGTGCAGTCGAGCAATCTGAAAATAAGATGGCCTGAATCCACAGACCCCAACCTCTTCCTGTTTCCATACGGGAACACCATCTTTTCTCACCCACGGGAACCCAGGCAGTGCCTGCCTCCAAAGCCAAGCCGAGAGAATAGCTAGGCGAGGGAGGATTTCTAGTCTCACGTGCCTTCCACACCATGAGCCCCATCAAAGTGCCCCTTCTTCCTATGATTGACCCTGGGCATGCCCATCTCTTACTGGCAGGAACACCTTCAGAAGAAAACAGCAGCCTGAACACCTTTCTTTGGCAGTGTGCTCTCGGGGGACCCACTGAACTGGCAAACAGATTTGCTAAGAAAGGTCAACTTTACTAAGTAAGCTTCTTGTTGGTATCTCTCTATGAATGGATTCTGAAGCTGTGTTGTGGAAAAGCAAGTCAGTAAATATGGTGAGTTGGTTGGAAGTCAGATCTCATTGCAACAAGAGAGGTGAAATTAGGGAATGGGAGAGGCAAGCAAGATCTCTGAGGCATAGATTTATCTAAAAAAGATAGATGAACAGATATGGACTAGATGATAGATGGGGAGGGTAAATAGATGACCAGTGATAGAAACGTGGATGATTGATAGATGACTGGTAGATGGGAGATAAAGGATTCATACTTGATAGGTGAATGATACATAGATGATAGATAGGTAAATAGACAAATAATTAATAGATGCTTAAATAATAAAGAAAGATGAATGATAAATAGATCCTTGAAAAGTGACAGATAATAATTGATACTTAATAGATAAAACTAATAGATGATAGATATATGCGCGCATATATACATACATATGCACACACATATATACATAGGACTAAAAGTAATGATACCCTCAGGCAGCTCACAAGCTTCTCAGATGTTGGTTTCTAAACACCATTGCACTGAAAGGAAAAATAACCAGTTCCGATGCTGGGGCAAGGGAAATGCCAGGCGAGCTGAGAACATCCTGTGCCAAGAAACAAGAAAGTGTTCAAAAAATAAAGATGACAGGAACATGTGGGAGAAAGCATCGGCGGCAACATGCCGGCATTTTCTCTGGCCAGATCTGCATAAGCGAGTCAAAATGCATAATGATAGCAACGGGCTGGAAGACGCTGCATTTAAAAGAACTCACGAGGCCATAAGTAACAAGGGAAGAGAGAAAGGGCTGTTTCGAGCAGAATGTGTTCTGTCCAGATGGGGTGACAGCCAGCAAATCCCCGGTTCAGGGTTCCCAAAGTCACTAGCCCCGAGCTGATGTTTGTGGGACACAGGATCTTCGCAGGGTCTCCCAGCGGCTCCAACAGGTGACTGCTTAATCACAGAGGGGCAAGGCTACCTTTCAAGTGGTGAGGCCACCACAGCCACGTGAGCACAGTTGCTATCCCCAGACATTGGACAAAGTGTCATCTTATGCCCTGAGGTGACATGCACAAGGGACGTCTCTTCTGCAGGGTTCCTGCCCCACATGCGTGACCTGAAGCCAGTCATGACAACAGCCAGTAAATCCACATCAAGGAAGAGTTAACAACAGTTAACTGAGCTGATTCCTCAGGAATATGGATGAAACGAAAGACCAAAGTGAGCCAGGGCGTTGTTTGAGACAAATGCAAGTCAAGGAGACACAAGAAAATGCAGTGGACTGGTCCTGGGGTGAATCCTGATTTGGGGGGGATGCAAGATTCCTTAAAGTACCCGTTGGGCCCACTGGTGAAGAGTGGGAATGGCTAGCGAGTAGAGCACCCCACTGTTCCAGCTGGAAAATGTGAGCGTGTAGCCGCTAGACAGTGTCCTCACTCTTAGCAAACACACACTGAGATATTTAAGAGTGGAGACTTGGAATGTCTGCAGCTTGTCTTCAAGTGACTCAGGAAAGACGAGTGTCCAGGATAGCTCATTCCAGTCCCTAGCATCTCTGTGGGAAGAGTGCTGTCAAAGAGCGTGCGTAGATCTCTGACCCGTCTCAGGATTGGCTGCCTGGAGCCAGGTACCCACCTCTTGTCCAATCGGCTTTGGCCCAGGCTGTGTCATGTGATATATAACATGGCTGCCATCACAGCTTCTTCAATGTATGTCTTCCTAGATGGGCTCGTAATGGGCCCTATGTATGGGTGAGCCAAGCTGTCCTGTAATTTCAGCTGCCCAAGCCCACTCCAGGGTCCTCCAGACCTTCTGCCCAACTTACAGCCCTTGCTCACTTGCTCTTTCAACAAGCCTTACATGTACCTCCTCTGGGCTGAGTTGTTACTGGAATTTTCTTACTATAATGTTTTTGTTGATTCCTTGAGAATTTCCTACAATGGATTTTGATCCTATTCCGTACACACACTCTTCCCCCTAACTTCTCCCATAGCCACCCCATCTTCCTACTCCCCCTAATTTTGTGCCCCCCATTTTATATAACCCCAGAATCCAGTTTGTGCTGTCTATACATTTCTGGGTGTGGAGCCAGCCACTGGAACACAGCCAGGGACCACACCCTTAAAGAAAACTGACTCTGGGCGGCTGGAGAGATGGCTCAGTGGTTAAGAGCACTGGCTGCTCTTCCAGAGGTCCTGAGTTCAATTCCCAGCAACCACATGGTGGCTCACAGCCATCTATAATGAGAGCTGGTGCTCTCTTCTGGCCTGCAGGCGCACACAAAAGGAATGTTGTGTACATAATAAATAAATAAATTTAAAAAAAGAAAAGAAAACTGACTCTGCCTCCCAGAAGCCATCCATTGTCCATAGCTCCTCAGCACAAATACGGAACACTTCAGGAATTTGCTTGTCATTGAGCAGGGGCCATGCTAATCCCATCAGTACCATTCCAGTCTTGAGATCTGTGCTGCCACTGTCACTACAATCAAGAGTCAGAACCTGGGCCCTGGCAGCCCCGTCAGCCAGGTTTGGCCAGGCTTGAATGAACACGGTGTCAGCTGGCACTTCCATCCCAGCACGGGAAAGCGAGGTCTCCTGGTGCATCACTGGCTGTGGAGTATGGGAGGAAAGGGGGCCTCGGCCAGGGACTCCGCTGCTGGAAGATAGCCAGTCCATCCCCGGGGTTTTTGTTTTCTCTTGATGCAGCCGGACCCAGCAGGCCGGGACATCTCCATCCGCCCACTGCTGGAACACTGCGAAAACACCCACATGACCATCTGGCTCGGCATCGTCTACGCCTACAAGGGGCTCCTCATGGTAAGTGCCAAGCCGGAGGCAGAGTTTGGGGACACTGCTTTGCCAGGCCTGTTTCTCCTAGGGGCCTTCACAACATGAAAATAAACAGAGCATCCTCCATATGACTAAACCCTTAGTCTCTAAACCTGGTCTCAGACCCCACCACAGCCCTGGGAGACAGGCAGAAATGATGCCCCCGTTTCCCTCCTGAGGCAAGGTTGTTTCCTCTGCAGGCTCTAAGGAAGAGCCCTTCCGGGACTCCTCCGGTGAAGGTGGCTCCAGGCAGTCCTTGACTTGTGATTGGTGGCTTATCTCTAACTCCTTCCCCTCTTCTTTTTAATCCTTATCATTGGATTTAGGGACCATTCACAGGTCCCTAACTGTACCTCCAAAGATTCCCTCACCCACCCACCCCACGCACCGCCACCAGTAAGGCCATGTGGATATACCTGTGAGGGCCAGGGCCACTCACAGATTACAGACGGCAAGAAAGCTCTTCCTAGTCTCAGCTCAGCACCCTGAGTCCTCATTCCACTCCTTGAAGGTCTAAGAACACGTGACTCTGTCCCTCCTGTCACTGACGCTCTCCAGAGCTCTGCAGGAACCGCCAGGTCTCCAGACAAGCCCGTGCTGGTCGGTGCATCCAGTCAGAGCTACAGTCTTGGGCTCCCACCAGGCCCTGCCATTCGCCACCATGGGTCCCACCCAGGCAGGTCCCTGCGTCTGGTCCATCCTGTGCTTCTTCCTCTGAGAGGTGACCTCTGGGGACTGACGGGATAATGCATGAAGGACCCGCCCAGGGAAGGTTTCCAGCAGACGATGGCTTCCTTGCCTCACCTGGTGTCTGCTTCCAAGGCTTCCCTTTCCTAGTAAAGGGATCTGAGAAAGAACCCGTCAGCATGGTGTGGGGCACAAACCTGTAATCCCAGTGTTACTGAACTCGAGGTACAGCCTATGCCCCAGACAGCCACCCATCCTCTATAAACCAATTAGAACAGCCAAAGCTTTATGAAAAGCAGAAAGGGGAGTTTTCAATGTGAAAACATTGGGAAGATGGCAAAAGACAACTCCAGATATCCCACCCCACCCCATCCTAAGTCCCCTGACACCCCATCCTAAGTCCCCAGACACCCCATCCCACCCCATCCTAAGTCCCCTGACACCCCACCCTACTCCATCCTACCACACCCCCTCACCCTATCCAAACAGAGGCCCTGGGGCATGAGTGTTACCCCACCTCCCAGGTGCAGCAGGTGAGACCTTAAGAGGTAAAGTGACCTGTTCAGAGTCCATGGCCAGTGACTCACAGAGACCATTCCAAGTCTCTGACTTGTCTCACCTGCTTATGCCCCATGATGCCAAACTGGGCCACCCTCAGGAAGCAGTCATCACAGCGATGACAGATGTGGCGTGCCCTGAGTTACGAGAAGAAACAAACAGAAGAGGCATTGGTGAGACGGCCCTGGGACCCTGCACCTGCAGGGGTCTCCAGTCTCCCTCAGTCTCCCTCACTACCACCCAGAGGGGCAGATGTGGCCTGCTCCTGACCGACCCTCCCTCAGAGCACTGTGGGGGCTGATGTTTCTCCTTGGGCCTCTCTCCTATCTGCTCCTATCCTGTTTGCTTCTGTAGGAAGATGGGTTGCTTAGGAAGAAAACTGCACGTGAGGGAAAGCCAAAAACAATGGTGACTGAAGAGATGGGCAGTTTCCCTCTGGAACCTGCTCCAGAGGCGCTGAGATGGGGACGCCCGCAACCATGCTGCGCCCACACCCACGCCACACTGTCTAAGATGGCTGCTGGAGCACCACCCTTCACAATCCACTCTTTCTATCTGGAGGGAAGGAATGCAACCCTTTCCCCTGATGTGCTAGAAAAATACTACACTGGGCTCTTCTGGAACTCTATAAACACAGCCCACTCCTGCCACTCCAGTACTGGTGTGGCCGCCATCTTTCCTCTCTGTACCTCAGTGCTCTCCAGAGAGTGAGGGAAAACACTCAAGATCTCATGTGAGGTTCCTTCACCCGTGGCCTCTCATAGGTCTCTGCAGGAGCCAGTCGTGAGTGTGAAGGAGAACTGGGGGGCTCACACACCTCCAGTCTGCATTTCCTCAGGATGCAACTTGGAGCCACACACGTAGGCAGTTGGTAGCAACCTGATGCCCCTGCAGTTTGCTGAGCAGGGAGAGGGGCCTCCGCCGGGTAGTGACCGCCTCCCCTTTCTGTCACCATTTCAGTTGTTCGGTTGCTTCTTAGCGTGGGAAACACGCAATGTGAGCATTCCTGCCCTCAACGACAGCAAGTACATCGGGATGAGCGTGTACAACGTGGGCATCATGTGCATCATCGGGGCTGCTGTCTCCTTCCTGACTCGGGACCAGCCCAATGTGCAGTTCTGCATCGTGGCCCTGGTCATCATCTTCTGTAGCACAATCACTCTCTGTCTGGTGTTTGTGCCAAAGGTACCTGCCTCTGCCTCTGCCTCTGCCTCTGCCTCTGCCTCTGCCTCTGCCTCTGCCTCTGCCTCTGCCTCTGCCTCTGCCTCTGCCTCTGCCTCTGCCTCTGCCTCTGCCTCTGCCTCTGCCTCTGCCTCTGCCTCTGCCTCTGCCTCTGCCTCTGCCTCTGCCCCTCACGAGGCGATTGCAGAACCCACCACACCTGGGGAGGGGGACATGTGGAAACGCACTATGCACACAGGGGAAAAAACTAGGAAAGAAAGAGAACAAGATCCCCAGAAACTTCATAAACTCATCACCCCCGAATTATCAAGCTCTTAGTGTTTACTTTGGTGCTCGATGTGTTTCCTGTCTGTGTGGTGAGGAGAGGAGAGGTTGCATGAGTGCCGTGTCATACACACGCCGGGACTCGGTTCTCTCTTTCCACCGTGCTGCTGCTGGGGATCTTTTTCCGACCTCCTGGTCTCCGTTTTTTGAAAGACTGGAAGCCTTGCCTCTGAAGACCAGGCTGTAACTATAGAGCACAACTTCTTTTCCCTTGTGTCTTTAACGTAGCTTCCCACCCTTCATCTTTTCCCACACCCACTGCATCCCGGAGGGCGAGTCCATTGCTTTCATGTGCACTTTATCCTTTTTGCTGAACGTTTCAATTATTACAGTTTTTTTTTTTTTTTGAGACGGGATTTCTCTGTGTAGCCTTGGCTGTCCTAGAACTCACAGAGATACACCTAACTCTGCCTCCAAAGTGCTGGGATTAAAGGCGTGCACCACCACCACCTGGCCTATTGTAGATCCTTTTAAAGAACATTTTTTTTCTACATAACACATTTTTCTTGTTTCCAATTATCTGCTGAAGTGGTCTTAGAAGTGATATTTCTGGGTCAGAAGGAACAGCCACGCTCAGTGTCCGCTTGCCTCTCAGAGCGCGAACACTTCCAGCCCTTTGACCCTGTGACACGACACTGTCATCCGCAAAGGTCATGCTCGAGAGGCAATTTCTTAACTCAGTGGAGTGTTGAAAGATCACACAAAAGTACATAGCTTCAAGTAAGCTTATGATTCTGTGTTGGGCAGCACCCATAGCTCTGCTCAGCCACATATGGCCTGTAGTCATAGTGGGACATATCTGACACACCAGTCCGGAGGACCAGCTTGGAGAGATATTTGGCAAGAACTATCTTTCGCATCCATAAATGAAGAGGCCTTAACCTCTTAGGGACCCGTGCAACCTGACCTCAGTGGCCCCAAGGGCCAGAAGACAGTCCAGGAAAGTCACCTCTGAGGTAGGAGGGTTAGTAGCAGAGAAGGAGAGAAGAGAGGTTCCTGGGGTTGCTGGGGTACCTCCATTCCCGGGCACATTGTTCAACCAGGACAGACCCAGAGACCCTCCAGTGTGTAGCCTCCGTCTCTCATTGTTCACTCCCCACTCAAGTCCCAGGCCAGCGTCAGCACCTCCCTGCCTGCACCCAAACATTCTGCATCCTGAAAAGTGTGCCAGATTCTGTAAGCCCAGCTGTGATTGAGCCATTTGTCATGTCAGCTTTGACAGCATCTCATTGATCTCTGGGCACAGAAGCCAAATTCCCAATGCTGAGTTGTGTTTCAGCTCTCTGGGGCCTCTTCCAGTACCCCGAGAACCCCATCTTCCATTCCACCTGCCCTTCCCATGGTAGCACTGTAATCCCAGCATCTGGTAGATAGACACAGGAGGACCAGAAGTTCAAGACCAGGCTGGGCTACATAGTAAATTGAGGCCAACCTGGGCTGTAAAAGAACTTGTCTTAAAAATAAAAGCTGGTGCCGGGCGATGGTGGCGCACGCCTTTTAATCCCAGCACTCGGGAGGCAGAGGCAGGCGGATCTCTGTGAGTTCGAGACCAGCCTGGTCTACAGAGCTAGTTCCAGGACAGGCTCCAAAGCCACAGAGAAACCCTGTCTCGAAAAACCAAAAAAAAAAAAAAAATAAAAAAATAAAAGCTGGCAAGATGAGTCAGAGGCTTAAGCCCTTAACACAAAGGCTTGACAGCCTGAATTGGAACCTCCGAGCCCACATAGAAAGTGGGAAGAAAGAATGGGCTCCTGTTCTCCAACCCTCACAGGCATGCCTTGCTATGTGCCCACACACAGTAGTAAATATAATAATAATAATTGCCCACCCCTAAGTGCCCTGAGACCCAGACCCCTTGTCCTTTGCCTATACTAGGTCTCCCCAACCTCGGAACTCCCTCCCGCACTGTCCCTTCCAGACAAGCCCCCATCTCCATCCCGGCCCCCACCTCAGCCCCCACCCTAGTCCGTGCCACCCACAGCGCAGTAGCTCCTGGTAGCCACTCTATCCTTAATCCCTTCGGGCCTGATGACAATCAGGCCCCTCTTCATACCCACACCCCAAATCTAAGGAGTCCTGATAGAGGCACAGTAACTCCACCAAGGCTCTTAGGCCCAGAGCCCACCATGGGCTGGGGAAAATTCTAAAATGCATGGGTAAGATTAGGGCCAAGTCACAACTTTTCTTCTCAGCTTTTTAAGAATTCTTTTTCATGAGGCTGGGGGTGTGCTACTTGTAGCTCACGGCCCAAACTGTGCTTACAGAGAGACCAGGTTCAGGTCCACGCACCCAATCAGGTGGCTCACAGCTCCACCTCTAACTCCAGCTTCAGAAGATCCAGCTCCCTCTTCTGGCCTCCACAGGCAACTGCACCACATGCGCACACACACACACACACACACACACACACACACACCCAACACACACACATACATGTACACATATCCACATAATTAAAAGTAAAATGAAAATCTTCATTAATTGTTCAAGCACACCAGACCCCTACCCCGTGGAACCTGTACTGTAACAGATGTGAGGGATTTAAGCTGTTAAATGACTTTGCCGGGGCAAACAGGTCGGCAGCTGATCACTAAATCCACCATGGTTGTGGAAGTCTTTACTTTCCATCTCACCCCTGTAAAAAAAAAAAAAAAAAAAAAAC